AGAGAGAGAGAGAGAGAGAGAGAGAGAGAGAGAGAGAGAGAGAGAGAGAGATTGTTTCATGGAGCGGGGTTGTCTCAGCACGAAAAACATGTATTTACTAACGTCCTGTCTTGTGTGCATGCCCGAGTGCACCTAACTTTGTAACATCCACTAATATTGTAAACGACCAAAACAAATTTCTAGATGTGAGATGAATAAAAATTGTCATAGCCACTGTCAAACTGAGGAGTGCCCGGTTTCACCGCGCGCAGGAACATTTACTATTATTCAATCAATCGCTTAAACTTTTGCGATGCCCATATTGTTTTTTATTAAGGTGAGGGTGTCACAGCCAAAACGAACAGGGCCCTTAGCGAAACAAACTGCGGCTCAATGTTCCCACATTTTGTGTTATGGGTGGCTTCGTTTTGTGGCCGCTCAATCCGCGAAAAAAACCTCGCCAATGTGTTCTAGGGAACGATAGACGACCTCTTCTTCTGTGACTCCATCGTCATATTAAAACAGCAGACGTAAAATAAGAAGCAGATTGTAAATTCAAGAGGCACCTCCCAACCAACTTCGTCATTATTTAATTACATGTAATAAATCGGTCTCGAGTTCACTCACTTACACTTTCTTACTTTTGTGTATGCCAGTGTCACTTTCTTAAAGAAAGAATCAAGCTTATTTCAAAAACACATCTTTGTTACATGAGTTTAGTATGAAACTTTTCCAGACTTTGTACAAAAGTAGTGGCTCTCTGAGATCTGTAAAGGCTACCTTCTCCCCATGCACCAGTCTGCAATCCGAAATTTCTCCGGTCGTAGTGAAGCTTGGAGCACTGATGCGTTCGATGCCGATACTTTTGGGCACTATTCCTGTGAGGAAGGCGTCCTCAGGGGCTATTAAAGGTAGATGTCTGGCCCTGTCTACAATACCATCAAGAGCAGAGCCAGTCACAGCATAGGTATGACCGTATAGATATGCTGGGAAGTATTTGAGTGGGTATTCCTGCTCCGTCACCGCCCATTTCCCTCTTCTAACCACCATTGGGAATGGGTGTAAATGGCGTAAGCCCAAAACAAACGGCTTCGCTTTCTTCTGACGCAGCACATAACTAACGAGCTCAATGATTAAGGGCACGTTGATTATAGTGTCCGAATCCACTTTGAGGACCACGTCAACCTGTTTGCAATATTTCAGTGCCCAGCTGAATCCCATGAGAACTTTGGTGGTGAGGTTACGGTAGGAGTCAACGAAATCCATCATAACAATATCTTCAAAAACCATTGCTTCCCTCAACAACGTTCTGTACACGTCCTTACGTTTGTCATGAGGGGTGTTTCCGACTAAGAAGACGTGTCTCACGCTCTCGGAGATGTTCACCCGCGGCCATCGGTTCTTTTCACCGGCATCCAGCCACGTAGAACGTATCGCGTTGCGCATCGCAAAATCCTCGGCCTTTGACAAAATGAGAAGCAGAAGAAAGGTTGATTTCCCAGCGCCACACACACTCGCAGCAGGGATCAAGAATCGAAAATCCAGGGGGTTCAGGGGGTAAGGGGATGGAGAGAACACGGGTGACGCCTTGTGGAAGTATTGCTCACTGGGCAAAGAAACAAACAAGTGGCCATCCTCAAGTCTTTTTATAGACTCCATGAATGTTGTGCCATTCGTCTGTGCATGGGGGAAACGGGGCATTTCCTCTAAGATACTTATAAAGGACTGACGAGTTGAGAGTAGGCCCAGCGCTAAGCAGACACTGGTCAGCCCGCACGCCACCGCGAAAGGGATCAGTTTTCGCCTCGGACATTGTCGCAGCTTGACCATCGCTCCGTCTTCTGACAGTGTGACTGAGGAAGAAATCAAGAACTTGAGAACAATCATGAGAGGGTCGTTTCCAAAACTTATTTTCCATGCCACGACACGGAATTGAATGCAACCGTTTCAATCAACAAGTGCCTTAATTTTGCAATATTTTTGTGGGTTTTGTCTCTCTCCAAAACCTGACAATGATAGCGGAATTAAAATGAACCAAAAACAACTGAAAGCTTAAACTTACATTACAGTACACACCAGGAGGTATTGTTAAGAGAGAAAAGGAAAACGGAACAAAAGAGATACAACAGAGAAAGGAAACGGAAAATCTATTGCCAACTGGAGTTTGTTGTGTTAGTGATTTAAAAAACCAAACCCAAAATAGCGAACATGTCAAATGCATATTATTGTACAAAATGTAGATGGCGTTGTTTGTACAGGAATGGGCTAAGGGGAAAAAGGTAAAAAGAAAACCTATTGGTAAGCGGCGTCAGAGGCCAGATGGTTAGACTCTTGGTCTGATCATCATCATCATCATCATCATCATCATCATCATCATCATCATCATCATCATCAATACTTTTATTATCAACATGCCTTTTATAATATCTAAATTATGTGAATAAAGTGTACTAAAATTGGAGTGAATCATCACCTGTTGAGAGAGGCGTAGAAGACTGGGTTTACCAAGTTAAGTTTGCTAACGGCTTTCGTTGCTCGAGAGCGGAAAACTTATTGCCTGCTCCTTTATTTGTTTTCTTAGAGAGGTCCAAATGGTTAAAGATCTCTTTCAAATTGATGTTGCTGCTATTGTTGCCGTTGTTGTTATTGTTGTCATTGTTATTGGCTTAATTAGGCTAGTCCTGTACAGGCACACATTGGAAGTTGCTCAAAGATCTATAATTGGAAGATGCTTCACTAATCTCTTTGAAATACTTAAAAAACCGACTTGTGGCTACATTTATTAATTCTACAGAAAGTGTAGAACTTTTTTAAAAGAAGTCAAGTGTTTTGTTTACAGGCTTAAAGAGTAGGAGTAAAGCCTTCTATTCGGAAAACGAAACAAACCATGGTTTTATTGGGTTTTATATTTTGTTCTTTTTTTGGGGTTGTTTGTTTGTTTTTGTCTGTGTGTTCTTTTTAAATGAGAGCCAGTGGGTGCATCTAAAAAAATGAGCGCTGATTTTAACAGACACCTTTTCAGAGAGGAAACCGTGTTGTAATGTATCTTTGATATTTGCGAGTGATGTGCATTTAAGTTTTTCGAGGTATCCAAACACTGAAAGCCGGAGCTTGTTGAAAAAATCTTGGACGTGTGTGTCTCAGGCCGTACTCGAAGTACACAACAGTTTCCTTAAATGAAATAATATGGAGAGCGACAGAGATTGATTTTTTGCAGGGAAAGATATATAGAAAATAATGGGTTGCGTGTATCCAAAAAGCAAGAAAACGTTTTCGCCCTCAATTGCCTAAACAATATTCACCTGAAAAACCAAGGGCATATTATTTTTTCACTCTATCAACCTTCCCTCTCCTACCTTTCTAAAAAAGCGAAATCTCCTCTTATGCATAGTAATATTTTAGTTAGGCCTAACCTAAAAGCTTAACATATTATCATTTTCAAGCCCTACCCCCCCCCCCCAAAAAAAAAGAAGAAAAAATGACATATTTGCAAAGCTAAGGGAATAGTCGCTCTTCAACTTCAAACCAAAAGAACATTTACATTTTAAACCAGTATGTTAACATTTTAACAAGGAAAGCTGAGTACATCAAATCCTAAGGTAAGATACTGACCTCAGTACGAAACAGCATCGTGAGCTGATTGCCGTCCTGTGGTACACCCAGTTTTACATTTTTAAAATGTAATTAAGCACTTTGAGAGCACTGAATATTCCAGTCACAAGAACACGGATTGGTACAAAATGAAACTGAAATTCTACGGTACACGGGTCTAGCCATCATCATCACCATCATCATCATCATCATAAAGTTCCAGATCTACGACAGATATCGGTGATCATAGCTCTTTATTCATTCCTTTGCTCGGATGATCTAAAAAGCTACCTTATTATCCTGATCTTTCACCGTCATCCATATGTTTAGGCTTTCCTAGTAGGCCAAGCTATAATACATATGTAATTCTGGACGCGAAAAAAAGTTACAAAGGGGAGAGGGGGGGGGGGGTAAACAGCCTCGACAGCTGTGATAAAAGAAAACTTCAAAAGTGACAAATTGGAGTTACAAAAACCCAACAACAACATCTCAAGTCATGTTACACTACCCACCTCTCTTCCACTAAAGTCTCTCCGCTCTGCGGTGAATCTATAACGTTTATTATTCACATGACTGGTGTTAGTTACGCCATGTCAAAAAGATTTTATACCTCTGTTATTCCAACGTATGCCCTCCTTTTTCATGTAAGTAAACACCACCACGCTATAGGCCTTCATGAGAAACTCACAATGGGACCGGACCCATTGTCGTGGTGGTGGTGGTTAGGGGACAGTCGGTGGTGGTGTGGAACGGGGGAGGGGTGAGGGCCGGAAGGAGTGAGGGGCTGGGGGGGGGGGGGGGGGGATTGAACGCTGCCGACGCAGTTGTTGATTTGTGCGTCAAGTACCTGATGGCAGGTCTGTCACGGGAGTCAAGGGGCAGGGAATAATATTGCTCTATAACAAAAACAAAGAGGCACACGTAATGTACTATCATTGCCAGACCTACAATCTCGTGCACAGTGCTCACCATTTCATTTGACCACCCACCCCCTTCTTCTCCCTCCGTCCCCTCTCCCTATCTACCCTCTGCCTCCGTCCCCATCCGCCTCTCCGTCCTTTCTCTACACCTATTTTCCTTCTCTACCTCTCTCAGCCTTGCTGTCTGTCCACCCCCCCCCCCTAATCCTGTCTTTCTCCCACTTTAACCCTACCTTTCACTCGCTCGCCGTCTGTATATCTGTGACTGTGTCTCCTTCCCTCTCTCTCTCTCTCTTTCTCTCTCTCTCTCTCTCTCTCTCTCTCTCTCTCTCTCTCTCTCTCTCTCTCTCTCTCTCTTTCTCTGTCTCTCTCTGTATATTTAACTGTTCTTTTTCTCTTCTCAGTTCCAGCGCAATAGTGGGATGCCGTTGTTCTGAATTATTGCGCACCCATATCAAAAGTACTTGAGGGTTTTAAAAAATAGATTGAGGTTTAGAGAAAAAAAAGGAACAAGTCACAATTAGATAATCTAATAATATGTAGTTCTGTTTATAGAACGGGAAACAAAGACAGCTCTGTTAAAATAAACTTAAAATTCACCGGGCTGGGGCGACCATCCCCGACCCGGCGGATCCCAGGTGGCGGATAAGGAACGGCCACTGTAATGGAGGTTAGCTGTGAATAAGCAGTCCAAGACCAACTGGCGATGCTCTTACCAGGACGGGGTGAGGTGACAGGTGGCACTACTACGTCATTTAATGCCCTAGGAGTCCGCTGACAGGAGCACCATGCAGAAAAGGACTGCAGTAAGTCCTGACTACGGGTGAGATCCGGTAACAATTCCTCCCGGTGCTCCTTGGGTAGGTCCTAGGACCTGGAGCTGGAGTGCTCAAATCGGAGGTATTAGGCCGCAAGGCGCACTCTAGAGAACCACAGTACCACGTAATACTGCAAAAAAATGACACTTGAAGTAGGTAACTTTAGATATGGTGCTCGCCCTGTGAGGACCCACCAGGCAGGTGCAGTGCCGGGCCCCATGCCTCGAAGGGGTCCACCTCAGCGACTGGAGGGCCTTCCATCATCTTGGAGTGCCAGGAGACGAGGGTGAAAAGTGACTGGTAACACAAACACAAAACAGGTAAGGAAAAGTCTTAATATCATGCACTGGAATGCCGAAGGAATCTCAAACAAAAAAATAGAGCTGGAAAACTTTCTAAAAGATAATGAAATCAGCTGTATACAGGAAACACACCTGCAGGAGGAGGCAAGCTTTAAAGTAAGAGGATATCAGTGTTTCAGAAACGGTCGCCAAGGTAGAAAAAAGGAGGAGTATTGACCCTGGTAAGAAATAACCTAAACACCATTGAAATCAAGAAATATACAGGAGAGGCTGAATATATCCACAACAGGATCACCACCAGCAGAGGCACTCTGGCTTTAGTGAACTATTAATATCCAAACGATAAAAACATTGTGCTAGAAATCATTGAAGTCCCAGACACAGACTTTCTCATGGCTGGATACTTCAAAAGCCAGTCTCAGAGTTGGGATTATAACAGACTAAACAGGAGAGGAGAAGACATAGAGGCTTGTCAAGATGAAAACCATCTTCTGCTTGTGAACGATCCTTTAGATCAACCCACATTTTATTCATGAGCTTGGCATTCAACTACGACTCCAGACATAGCCCTTTGCACAGAAACCTTGTACAGACATCTAAGTAGAAAAGTGGAAACCCAGCTTGGAGGAAGTGACCATCGCCCTGTTCTTCTTACTATAGTAGAGAGCCTGCCAGAGGACAGCCCGAAAAAGCCGAGATGGAAATACAAAAAGGCAAACTGGAGGCTTTTCAGCATAAGAACTAATGAGATGACAAATTACATCGCAGTCTTCGTCAAAAACATAAGCAATGCCATCCCAGAGTTCAGTGAAAACATCCTTAAGTCAGCAAAAGAAACCATACCTAGAAAAAAATTACACCCCATACTGGAGGCCAGAACTCCAGAAAACTCATAACGACCTCATCAAGGCCAGAGAAGAAGCCGAATCACATCTAGGGATAGAAAACAACAACAAGCTACAGAGGTGTAAGCCCACTACCCCAAAACAAAATTGGTGTGCACCAGGAAAAGCTGGAAAGGCAAAACGCACAAACTTAACCTCGAAAAGGCCACCACAAAACTATGGAGGCTTGTAAAGGGGCTAAACAACGAAGGAAATCAAAGTGCCAAGATCACTCTAGAAATTGAAGGAGAGATGGAAATGAAGAAAAGGGCAGCACATACCTTTGTAAAAGCATATGCTCAAGAAAGCTACATCAAAATACCAAGAGAGAGAGAGAGAGAGAGAGAGAGAGAGAGAGAGAGAGAGAGAGAGAGA